GATAATTCTTCTATAAGTTTCTTTAGTGTAAGTGATTCTTTTTTTATCTGCTTTGCTTTTTTGTTAGATGGTTTATCCGGAAATAATTTGGGATCATTAGTATATTTTTTTGATGTATCACTCTGGATAAACAGAGGGCTTTTAAATATCGTAGGTAATATTTCCATTAAATCGATATCCTGATTTCCAGGCATTTCAACCACAGATTCTATCTCCTTCATACAACCAGGTTTTGGGCATTTTGGACTAATTTTAATAGAACTTTTGATACAATCATGATGATATAAGTGGCCACAGGTAAGTAAAGTAATTGGTTTTTTTATTTCATATAAAAAAATTTCTTGGTTGCATAACGAACATGGATCTAGTTCAGGTATATTAATATCACTTGCAACTTTTTCTGGAGATGAATTTTTAAGAACATTTAATACAAGTATTTCGAGACATGTGATATTTAGGGGCGTGGGGTTAGTAGCCATATTCAAGAGCAAAATTTCTTATACTTGGCTTATTTACATAATTTATTTCTCATGACTAACAAATCTAATTTGCAGATTAAAAAAACAATTTCGGATTTGGTGATCTATTTATTCATGAATTATTTAGTATAAGCCAAGGACTGATCAATCTACTGGCTATCGTGAATGATTAGTGAAGAGAAGGGATATACACCCTTTTTTTTCACAAGCCCGAAAAAAGATCTGGGTTATATATCTGGCTTCGAGTGATTTAATTACAAGAAGGCGCAATTTTTATTTCACTTTGACACCGCCAATTTATAAGAAAAAAAATATTAATATAAAAATATATCTCTCAAAAGCTGGCTCAAATATTCTACACGACCAACTGCTAGATAAATTAGCTTATCCCATGCCAGATTTCTATCAATGACCCAAACATGCATCTTATTTATACAATTTTAGTCATCAGAACTTATTCTTGGTAAGACTAGAAAATTTTCACATTAAATATATTACTTTATTATAACAATCATGTCAAGTAATGCTAATATTATTTCTGATCGAAGTAAAATATTTGATCCATTGTATGAAATGCTATTATATAAGAAGAAAGATATAATAGCTATTCAGAAAAAACTTGGTATTAGTAGTAATGCAAATCAAACAGCAATGCGTCAAAGCAAGAAGGCAAAAACTCTTGCTGATTTATATAAGTTGTTGTTAGATTTGGTGAAAAATATGACATCAATACAAAAGAGACTTGGCATTATTGGTAATCCCATTTTAGAAGAAGCACTTCAAAGCAATAAAGCTCCTGAAGCTTCTACAGTTATAGAAATACATAA